GTTTTAATTCTCCGTTTTTTGTGGACGGGGCCTAATTCACGCTGCTAAGCAGTCTGGATACCATGGACCTAATTTTCACCTCAGCGAGGGGACCAATCACAGAACGGGGAGGGAGACGTCTATATGCGACACCGAAACATTATGTTTATATATGGATCAAACATGGCAGCAGACGCCAAGTTACCTTTCGATGCAGCTTTAGATATTGTTCAGAAAGCAAACAAATCTCTGGCCCATCGTCTTCTTCCTCATCTAATTTCTTTCACTCTACATACGTCGTCTGGTATAATTAAAACGATTGCCTATACATTCGTAGTGCCCAATAAACGGCTCTGGGCATTCGTAAACCATACGAGAAAATGAACATGTGGTTCCCAGATCACGTCTCAGGGCCTGTCCACACGGAGACGCGTTTCGCTGTATCGTATTGGCGTTTCGTCCACATGCATCCGGTGTTTTGGGAGAGTGAAACTGCTATTTTTTGAAACCGGGTCCCAAAGTGGATAAATCTGAAAACGACACCCTTGCGGTTTCGTTTGTACGGCCAATCCATATATTTTGTGAAACTATGATGTCATCACATCACATCTCGGCTGCGTCACACGCCATCTTCGTCGTCTTCTTCTTGGTTCGTATCAGAGAATGTCTAATTGAAGAGAATTGGCACTGGCTGGTTACTTCCGGGTTCTGGACTGGCTGCAGTAACACGTATCTGTCCATGCGGGGGCGCTCGCGGTCGAGTGCAGAATGAATGGGAGTCAATGGGGTTTCACCCCCAGAAATCCACTTTTCTCAGGATGTAATTTGAAAGTTGCATTCAAAAGGGAGGGCTAAGATAATACACTCAGCTGAAAATTGCATTTTTTTAGTTCACTTATCTGTTCTAAAAATCCGTTCAAAAAATGTGATGACGTCACACAATAGCCGAATGCTAGCGTGTTCTGGCCAACAACGGCCTAACCTGTCAGAAATCGAAAGGACAAGTACTCGTTCATTCGACTTTTGGCCTAATCTATATTGAACTTGCGTAATCAACAATAAAATCTATGTTAATTTAACGACAAGCAGGTGAAAGAGACACATTTAGCCGTTTAGCCCCATAGACTCCCATTCATTCTGCTCTCGCCCGCGATCACCTCCAGTGGAATTCTAATGGAACTGCAACCAGGATGATACACAACGGGGCTAATAGGAAGTGCCAAGGCTCTCCGTTAGACGGGCTCTGGTTCGTATTCAGCGCACAAGGTTATGCGCATGCTCAAAGTCTTCTTCTCCATGTATAGTGTATCTCTGTGGCAGAATTACAGCGCCCCATACTGGTCTGGCATATTTACTACACCGTTTTCAGTCGGTTTCAGTGGTTTCGTGTGTACGCAGATATTTCTTGAGACGACGCCATGTTTACGGATTTTTTTTTTTTTAGAACGAGGGGAAAAAAATCGGATAGGGAACGCACCGGCTTCGTATGGACGTGGCCTCAATGTCAATGAGATGTGGTCTGACGTTAGCCAGGCTAGGGCGGGACTTGATTTTGTCCAAAGGGAATTGATTGGATGGTTGTGGTTTGCTATTGATGGATCTCATGTGAGTGACAGGTTGCCCCGCCCACACGCCAGTAAACACATCATCAGAGAAGAGATGAGCTGCGAGAGGGAGGGGAAGTTGCTTTAATTAAAGATCACGAGGCACATGAATTAAAAAAATAATAATTATAATGATGTGCGCGGATTAATCATTTATGATGTATACTGCAATATTCCATCAAATAAGAATTAAGGGAAACACTTTATTTTGATGGTCCCTTCTGAACATTCAAGTAACTACATGTCAACTAACTCTCATTATTTTATTAGTAGACTGTCTGCTAATATCTGCTCACTCTTTATTTTGATGCTCCCCGACAGACATTATGCTAACTATAACTTTGCAACCACATGTCAACTTATTTTAAAACCCAAACTGTCTACGTTTAGGGACCATCAAAAAAAAGTGAAACCAAATTAAGAATTTGTACTTGGTGACTTTAAACTAAATGATAATTAGAAATGTTGCTTTGGCAACTAGCTAATAAAAAGTTTACATCTTTATATTTCATTTTATTTAATTTGTTTTTTAATGGTTCAAGTTACGGTTTTAGTTATAATATTAACAACCCTGTCACAGACAGTTGCGAAAGTTAAGCTGTCTTCCACAAAAACATTATTTTGCCTAAACTCTAATGCAGTTTTTAATTCCCATAATTTACTGTGATGAGCTCAGATAAAAATAAAGGCAAGATGGCGATGTAGTAGCCATAGGAAATGTTGATACACTCATAATTTCTCTGATACTGTAATGCATTGATAAGCAGATCATTTCAATTAAAACTGTCTATTTAACCAAAAATCTCTTTGTGTAATTTTCTTAGCAACATCCTGACATCAAACTCTGTTGAAATAAATCACTAGTTCCAGATCAGTCACTAATATGACGTTCATTAATAGACAGACAGTAAGCAGATCACTATAACAAACTGTGAAGGAGTCAGCAGTGCCAGGATTCAATAATAGATAGAAATTTTCCCATTAATTGGAGTGGTAAATATCTACGTTATTATAACTAACGCTAACGGATCAAAATAAAGTCGTATTTTTCGCAACACGTGTCAGAGGCATTAGGCGTGTATTACGGTTGTCCAGTAGGGGGCAACAATGGATTACATTTAAAAGAGTGAAAAATACTTTTTCATAAAATAAACGCTAATAAATTAAATGCATTCTTTTAGGGGTAGGGTTTGGATATGGGTAAATCTGATGTCATTATAATTACTCTATGTAAAAACAAAAGAAGTCAACAGTGATAAGTAAATTGATTTAGATAGGCTAAGTGTTTCTAAGGAAAAAGTAGAGTGGGAAACTAAACCAGTTCAGATTAGCGTTTAATTTTTTTCCAGCTGTGTTTCCTGAACATTCTCATATTTGTTTTTGTCACGTGATCCATATTCGTCTATAATCTGCTCATGTGATGATATGAGAACGTTTGAACAGTCAAACACGACCACATTTGCATCTTGTCCAACAGTGTTAGACAACGGCCCTTTGAAACCTGAAGACAAAACTAATGAGCATTTCCTACTTTTGGTCTGTTTAGGAAATATGAACAGTTGCAGAGAAAAAAATACTCTAATATTATACACAGATTTATTCACCGGTATATTTTTACATATATTTATTTACCGATAATATGATTTATTTAAGTAGCTTTGGCACATTTTATATATATACTGTATATACTATATATATATATATATATATATATGAAGAGTTCAGATGCAAAAGCCTCTACATGCCATTTGAAATTTTCTTTTAAAATGACCATTTTTATCAAGCTTGTATATTTAAGTTCAGTAATTTCACTTAAATGACAATTAATAATCTTCACTGCCATTTAAGTGAAATTACTGAACTTAAATATACAAGCTTGATAAAAATGATAATTTTAGAAGAAAATTTCAAATGGCATTTAGAGGCTTTTGCATCTGAACTCTTCATATATATATACTGTATATATAGTGAAAAGTGTTACAACTGTGTTTGAATTTAAATGGATCAAATTGGATTTGGAGGCCAAATATAATTTAGCGAAGACAACAAATCCAGACCATTAAAAAGCTCAAGCAACACAAAATGAAAATGAAATGTGAAAATTTGGAAGAGTCTTGCTCCATCTGAGCTTTTTACCTGTGCCAACCTGACTGTGTGTGACACATATACACAAATATTCCCCGAAGAGATTAGTTTATCACTTGGTAAACTATTAGCCATAATGCACTTCTGATAAGGCCGCAAACATCTATTACTGACTGTTCAACTACACGCTCCTTGAGATCTCCAGATGTTGTCGAACATCAAAGATCAAACAGGAGAATCATGCTCTCAGTCAGCTGTAACCACAGGCCTTCAGCATTACTGATTATTCAGAAACTGATGTGACTGTAGGTCTCTAATCTAAGCTAGCACACCTAAAATGCTGTTAAAGTCGCAGAAGTATTAGAAATGTGTAAGCTATACTTTCACTTTCTGCTGTCTTAAAATGGTGCATTGAATGGTATCATGTGATTATACTGTAGCAGTTTTGATCATGGTACTGTATGATTTCCATATTCATATGCCCTGGTTTTTAGGTACTCAACATACTTCAAGAAAAACATGGTTTTATATGTTCAAAAACACGGTATTACCATGATGCATGTCTAAAAAATGCTGTACAACTATGATATTATTTCCAAAAGCATGAGATCACAGGGAACATGTCTATAAAAAAATAAAAAACATGGTATTACCATGAAGCGATGACCAGTCATGTTGGCCAAAAGCACTGTACTGCTATGGTGCATTACATAAAAGCATCAAAATTGCATGGTGTTACCATTATACATGCCTAAAGACATGGTATTGTCTCAAACAAATTGCTGTTGTCTTATAAACACTGTATTACTATGGTTTGTTTCATAATGGTATTATGTATTCCTAAAAACATAAAGTTAGCACTTTATTTTACAGTACTGTTACATGTATTATGTACTTATTATAATTATTACAATAACTGTGTAATAAATAAAGAGCAAACAAAAGCATGGTATTACTAATGGTATTGTCCAAAAACACTATAGACTATTCTTTTTTATTTATTTATTTTGTTTTTCAATAAAAGCATAAAAAAATTCATGGTATTTCCAAGATGAATGTCTAGAAAACATGGTATTAGAAACACTATACTGCTGACTGTGGTATATTTCTTAAAACATCAAATTTCAAGGTAGAATATGTATGTCTGGAAAACATGGGATTACCAATGGTATTAAAACACTACTGTATATTTCATAAACGCATCAAGTTTGTCTAAAAAACTATGATGCATGTCCAAAAACATAGCATTATGGTATATTTTGATCGTGCAGAGGAAGTGAAAGAGTGTGATGTGAGCCAGTTTAGGGGTCAGGAGAGGTGCTGATCTCTCACCAGTGTTCCCGGGACCCGCGGCTCGTCTCATCCAGTCCTGCGGCTCTTCTCTCTCCAGCTGCGCCTGATCCACTTGCGGAATGACGTTGACCTCCACGCCGTTAGCCGGCAGCGAGTGACCCGTCCCGTGACCATAGAGCGGCGGCCACTCTTCACGCAAACCCGGGCCGAAGCCGGGACTCCACGAGCTGCCGGTGTGATGCAGGTCATTCCCGAGGGCAGGACCCGGGTGGTACCCGCTGTAGTCCGGGTACGGGGCAGACGGGTAGTTCAGGTGAGGCTGGTGGCCGAGGTTCAGGTGTCTCGCGGCGGGGTTGCCGTACATGGCCGTGTCCAGCAGGAAGCTCACGGACATTTTCCTCGCGAGCTGAAAGTTTTACTTTAACTGAACTTCACCTTGCCTGAGCGCTCGCGGGCGCGCGTTTGTTTGCCCAGCGCTGACGTCACGCCGGGACACCCACCTGAGCTGATTTATGACACGCGCACAGGTGCCGCCGACTGGCCGGAAGTCCTATCACCCTGAATCATGATCAACACAGAGCTGAAGTTAGATAGTTGAAGGCCCGAATGCCGCGATGGACGCCTTATCTCCGACGCCACATCTCCACAAACGCTTCGTTATCTAAAATAAGACTCGGGCGCGCGCTCGAGTGCCTGGCAGGTTAAGAGCATTTACATTTTACAAAGGCTAAAGGCCAAAATGTTACCTGAACCGGCCAGGATGCTTAATTTGATGTCCGTGATGGAGATAACAGGCATACCTGGGCAAAAATGTGATGAAGGTCATCATGATGATGATGATTATAATTATGTAAGGACATTTAAAACAATGATGATAGGGAAGATTGTGATTAAGATCACCATGAGAAATGATATCTTTCAGTGTGTGCTGGATTTCGCGATGATGATGATAATGATGTGGCGCTGGAATCTCACGGCAGGGTTTAGGCGAGTCAGAGAGGCGCTCGTGACTCTACATCAGAAAGCGCTCGTGCATTTCAAAGGGTCTCGCGCGGCGCACATCAAAGAGCCGCAATAAAAGCGACAAATGAGCGACACTGTAAATCAAGGCCTCTGTATTGAAATGACGAGGGCAGGCGGGCTTCTGCTTCCTCCGACAGACGTGAGAAGCGAGAGAACGTGTTCTGAGGCCTGGAGACACTGATGCTGCGAGTAATGCCACTTTACATTCACACTTACACGACCTTTATTGTCATTCAGCACGTAGGCCTGCAGCTCATTATTTTACAATAGCCTAGATATTTTATCATGATAAATTAGAATTTTATATTGCATTCTTGGTTATATTGTTATTTGCAATATTGCATTGATTATATAGGCTACATTTATTTACTATAATACATTATTCTAATTTCTCTGCTAAAAGACCAAAAAGTTATATTTTGCTGTTTGGTTTGGTTTTTCTTGTCACACTAAATATAAAGCGTAGATATTTTTAAATAATTTGCACACATATTGTATACTTAGAAGGCCTTTAAAGGGGTAGGCCTAGTTCACCCCAAAATGAAATGATGTCATCACTATTCCTCTCAGACCTGTAACCGAGGTCACTGAACGCGGATCCACAACAGAACCGGAAGACAATACAATGCTGAATAAAGTCGTAGTTTTTGTTATTTTTGGACCGAAATGTATTTTCGATGCTTCAAAACATTGTAACTAACCCACTGATGTCACATGGACTACTTTGATGATGTCTTTATTTCCTTTCTGGACAAGGACAGTATACCGTACATACATTTCCAATGGAGGGACTGAAAACTCTCGGACTAAATGTAAAACATCTTAAACTGTGTTCTGAAGATGAACGGAGGTCTGACGGGCTTGGACATGAGGGTGAGTCATTAATGACATAATTTTCATTTTTTTGGGTGAACTACCCCTTTAAAGGGATACTCCACTTTTTTGGAAATAGGCTCGTTTTAACAACTCCCTCAGAGTTAAATATTTGGGTTTTAATGTTTTTGAATTTATTTAGCCGATTTTCTGATATTTAGAATATCAACCAGACAGTTTCTGGTCCCATTGACTTCCATAGTATAATTTTGTTTCCTATGGAAGTCAATGGGACCAGAAACTGTCTGGTTTCTGATATTCTACATATCAGAAAATCGGCTGAATGGATTCAAAAACGGGCGGTAAAACCCAATTGAGTTGTAAAATGAGCCTATTTCCAAAAAAAGTGGAGTATCTCTTTAAGTTAACAGAAGTTGTTTAAATGTTTGGCCTCAGGGGGGCAGTAAACCACTGTCAGACACTCATAAGATAATTAGTCTCTCTCATTACCATAGACACTCACTTCCCAGTGATCCTCAGAACAGAACCCGCATGTTTTTACCTGACATGAATTACTATGTGAGTTTTAACATTCATTAAAGAGATAGTTCACCCAAAAATGATAATTCTGTCATCATTTACTGCACATTCAAGTTGTTCCAAACCTGCATGAGTTTTTCTTCTGCTGAACACATGTTGGACTGTTGACAGTACCCATGGACTTCCATTCACTGTAAAAAAATATTGTTGGTTTAACTTAAAAAAGTAAGTAACCTGGTTGCCTTAAAATTTGGAGTTCATTGAACTGGAAAAAGTGAGTTAATACAATGAAGGAGATTAATTTAATCAGAAACTCAAAATAATAAGTTATCTCAAATAAATAAATTATTATTAAGTTGATTTGACAAAAGAAAATATGTTGTGATAACAAATCATGAAAATATTTTTTACAGTGTGTAGGAATATATATATATATATATATATATATATATATATACTATGGAAGTCAATGACAACCGCCTACTGTCCGGTTACTTACATTCTTCAAAAATTATTTTGTGTTTAACAGAAGCGAGACACTCATACAGGTGTGGAACAACATGAAGGTGAATTTTTGGGTGAACTATCTCTTTAATGACATATAGCCTGTAATGGTTTGAAGTCAAATCAAGTTAAGTCAAGTCACCTTTATTTTTTTAGTGCTTTTTACAATACATATGGTTTCAAAGCAGCTTTACGTTGATAACAGGAAAGCTTTATTTGGATGGATGCTGTCAGCAGACCTACATTAACGGATTTCATTCTCCAGGTAAGTAAAAGGGAGATACAGGTAAGATAAGTGTTGATAAGTACCCTATTAAAATATAATATGATTAGGTTACACACACGTATGCACAAACTTGTCTAGAATGAAATACAATATAAGAAATGTAAACAAGAAACAATTTGTTTCACATTCATAGAAATGTTTCCATGAATTTTAAGCTGCACTGTGTCAAATGTTGTCATTTTTCCATTCTCTCTCTCTACACACAGTTTCCCTCTCTTTCCCCATTTGTCCCCTTAAAATAAGCATTCTCAAGTGTATACACACACACACACACACACAAAGTTGATCCGCAGCATTTGGGATTGAGCATCTCTCCTCCTCCATTTCCTGTCTGAGATGAGAGTCTGAGCTCTGACTTTATCATGTTTCACGTTCATCCGTCATATTTGAGACGGTCCAGCCGTACATCCTCAGAAGCTCGAACCCTCAGAACCCAAACCTCGACCTCCAAATGCAAAGAATCAAACTTGTGGAGGAACATTTGTGTCAAATAAAGAAACAAATGTATCAGGTTTTTTTAACTTAAAGGAGTAGTTCACTTTTAAGCTGATAATTTACTCACCCCCATGTCATCCAAGATGTCCATGTCTTTCTTTCTTCAGTCGAAAAGAAATGAAGGTTTTTGATGAAAACTTTCCAGGATTTTTCTCCATATAATGGACTTCAATGGGGTCCAAACGGTTCAAGGTCCAAATGAGAGTTTCAGTGCAGCTTCAAAGGGCTTTAAACGATTCCAGATGATGAATAAGGGTCTTATCTAGCGAAACGATCGCTCATTTAAAAATTAAAATAAAAAAATTTAAGTTTTATAAGCACAAATTCTCGCCTTGCTCTGTTCTGTGATGTGCGTTCATGATTCTGCTGTTCGAACTCGTTCATCAAAATTAATCTTTTTTCGAGTCATTTGGTTGATTCAACGAACAAAATGACTCGCAAAAAGATTAATTGTTTTTGATGAACGAGTTTGAACAGCAGAATCACGAACGCGCATCAGAGAACAGAGCAAGACCATTTGTGCTTATGAAACAAACCTTTTTATTTTATTTTTGAAATGACCAATCGTTTTTTTTTTTTTTTTTGCTAGAAAAGACCCTTATTTATAGTCTGCATGTCATTTAAAGCCCTTTTAAGCTGCACTGAAACTCTCATTTGGACCTTGAACCGTTTGGACCCCATTGAAGTCCATTATATGGAGAAAATCCTGGAATGTTTTCATTAAAAACATTCATTTCTTTTCGACTGAAGAAAGAAAGACATGGACATCTTGGATGACATGGGGGTGAGTAAATTATCAGCAAAAGGTTTTCTTTTAAGTGAACTACTCCTTTAATTTAGTTTTTTTTTTTTCAGTTGCATGCTGTGTATAAATGTGTATGTTTATGTAAAGTGATTTATTGGCAAATCTTTTTACCATGCCATTGGTTTCTGAAGAAACGTGCACATTTATTGTAATGTAGGTCAAATAGCATCAATCGTGTTTTTTTTTTTTTCTTATGAAATGAAATGCATAATTTAGTTTATGCAACATATATCTTAATATCCATATGTTAACCACAGGAACTCTTGTCTCATTCTCTAAACAAAAATAAACAACTCTTGAGATGTGTTTACTAGAAAAGACCAATTCCACCCACAATAAAGTTTTCCCCAAAGTTCACCAGATGTTCTGCTTAAAATAGATAAAAAGAAGATTATAAAAGCAGGAGTGAGGTTTTTATTGTTAGCTTTGCTGTTTCGGGGCCAGGTATAGAGATTTAGTTTCACGCTCAGCATTTCTCCGGCGTCTGTTAGTGTCATCTAAACCACAGCTCTTTCAGCAGGACGTGTGGCGCTGCACTTATCCTTCATTTAACAGGATATTTCCCTCTGCGAGACACACGATTCATATTTAACTGTTTATTAATCTCAATAGGGATTATTGTCTGTTCAGATCACATTAACATCAGCGCTCATGAGGGAATCTGTCCGTTTTTATACGGTAAAATGGCAATTAATAACAGTAGATTTAATATTAAATTAGACTTTAGGCATGCACATATATTTAAACAAGTTTGTGTTACTTTACAATATACCAAATACTGGTCCAATACTATATTCTGAAATTGTTTTATTTGAAACAACAATAAAAACAAGTTGAATATTGTAATAATATTCATATTTTAATCATTTTCTTTGAATAGAGTGGTGCTTTGATGCTATAGATTGTTGCCAGGGCGTTATTCAGTTGCTAAGGTGTTGCTATGTGGTAAATATGGCGTTTCGGTTGGTTGCCTATAGCCATCATTTTAAGGCATCATAGCAATGCTATGCTATTCCAAAAAATGTGTGTGTGTGTGTGTGTGTATTACACATTTTAGAATCGCTTATAGGAGAAGTTCACTTTTAAAAAAACTGTTGCTGATTATTTACCATGTCATCCAAGATGTCCATTTCTTTCTTTCTTCAGTCGAAAAGAAATGAAGGTTTTTGATGAAAACATTCCAGGATTTTCTCCATATAATGGACTTTAATGGGAACCAAACGGTTCAAGGTCCAAATGAGAGTTTCAGTGCAAACTGTTGAAAGGGCTTTAAACGACACCAGACGATGAATAAGGGTCTCATCAAGCGAAACAAATCGGTCATTTAAAAAATAATTAAAGTTTAAGTTTTATAAGCTCATCTTGCTCTGTCTGTGATGCGCGTTCGTGACTCTCATGTTTGAACTCGTTCATCAAAATGAACAAATCTTTTTCGAGTCAATTTGTTCATTGAATTAACCATATGACTCAAAAAAAGATTCGTTCATTTTGATGAATTAGTTCGAACAGGAGAGTCACGAACGCGCATCACAGAACAGAGCAAGGCTGTAACACAGTTTCATCCCAAGATGTCGTATAACTGACGTCTTGGGACGTCTTTTGACCATACGTCAATATCCGCCTTTTTAGGGTACCCTTAAACGTCGGTTAGATGACGATCCTGGGACGTCATACAACTGACGCTTTACCATTAACGTCAGTTAGGTTTAGGGGAAGGTTTAGGTCTGGGGTAGGGTTCGGATCCGATAATGTCATCTAACCGACGTTTAAGGGTACCCTAAAAAGGCGGATATTGACGTATGGTCAAAAGACGTCCCAAGACGTCAGTTATATGACGTCTTGGGATAAGACTGCACTGAGCAAGGCGAGCATTTGTGCTTATAAAACTTATTTTTTTTTTTTTTTTAGAGATAGATAAGACCCTTATTCGCTGCACTGAAACTCTCATTTGGACCTTGAACCGTTTGGTTCCCATTGAAGTCCATTATATGGAGAAAATCCTGGAATGTTTTCATCAAAAACCTTTCAAGAATGACATGGACATCTTGGATGACATGGTAAATAATCAGCAACAGTTTTTTTAAAAGTGAACTACTCCTATAAGCGATTTTAAAATGTGTAATACACACACACACACACACACACACACACACACACATTTTTTGGAATAGCATAGCATTGCTATGATGCCTTAAAATAATGTCTATAGGCAACCAACCGAAACAGCATATTTACCACATAGCAACACCTTAGCAACTGACATGGGGGTGAGTAAATTATCTGCAAAAGTTTTTTTAAAAGTGAACTACTCCTTTAGATCGCGATTAATCGATTTGACAGCACAGTGTGTGTGTGTGTTGTTTTTTAGTCGAGTGTGTTACTGTGACATTCCAACTTTAGAGACTTTAAAAGGAAGCTCCTCCTCCTCCCAAAGGACACACACACACATACACACCATTTACTGTCAGAGGCCTGACCAATTAGTTCCTTCAGTGGCTCTTATGAAATGGGCTGCAGATAAAGCGAGCTGAGAGAGAAAGCTCCGGTGCTTTTGTTTACTGTCCTCAACTCAGTCTGACTAATGAGAGCGTTTACTGTTGACGAACCCCAGCCTCTGACCCGAGATCAGCCTTACATGCCTCAAAGTGAGTCTGAGCCACAGGAGAGCTGATCCTGGGTCAGTGTCTATGTGCAACGGATGTCAGAATCACGGAGGTTTGGGATGAAACTGCTAACACACTCATTTTAGTGCTGTGTGCTCATACTAAAGACAGGAACGTTTCACTGTAAACTCTATTTTCCCTCCTCTCACAGATTATTTTCTCTCTCACTCTGTCAAATGTTTGTTGGACAGTGGAAAAGTCAAATAAATGTTCAGTCAGTTGGTCACAGAACATTAAGACTGATAGGATAGGCTATGTTTTGTGTGTGTGTGTGTGTGTGTGTGTGCATGATAATGTTTGTGTATATTTTCTCCATGTGTGTGTGTTGCTGCATGTGTTTTTGTATACTTTCTGCATATGATTGTGTGTGTGTGTGTGTGTGTGTGTGTGTGTGTGTTGCTGCATATGTTTGTGTATATTTTCTGCATAAGTTGTGTGTGTGTGTGTGTGTGTGTGTGCGTGTGTTTTGCTGCATATGTTTGTGTATATTTCAGCATATGTTTGTGTGTGTGTGTGTGTGTGTTGCTGCATATGTTTGTGTATATTTTCTGAATAAGTTTGTGTAGCTGCATATTTTTGTGTATATTTTCTGCATATGTTTGTGTGTGTGTGTGTGTGTGTGTGTGTGTGTGTGTGTGTGTGTGTGTTGCTGCATATGTTTGTGTATATTTTCTGCATAAGTTTGTGTGTGTGTGTGTGTGTGTGTGTGTGTGTGTGTGTTGCTGCATATGTTTGTGTATATTTTCTGCATAAGTGTGTGTGTGTGTGTGTGTGTGTGTTGCTGCATATGTTTGTGTATATTTTCTGCATAAAATTGTGTAGCTGCATATGTTTGTGTATATTTTCTGCATAAAATGTGTGTAGCTGCATATTTTTGTGTATATTTTCAGCATATGTTTGTGTGTGTGTGTGTGTGTGTGTGCGTGTGTGTTGCTGCATATGTTTGTGTATATTTCAGCATATGTGTTGTGTGTGTGTGTGTGTGTGTGTGTGTGTTGCTGCATATGTTTGTGTATATTTTCTGCATAAGTGTGTGTGTGTGTGCGTGTGTGTGTGTTGCTGCATATGTTTGTGTATATTTTCTGCATAAAATTGTGTAGCTGCATATTTTTGTGTATATTTCAGCATATGTTTGTGTGTGTGTGTGTGTGTGTGTGTTGCTGCATATGTTTGTGTATATTTTCTGCATAAGTTTGTGTAGCTGCATATTTTTGTGTATATTTTCTGCATAAGTTTGTGTGTGTGTGTGTGTGTGTGTGTGTTGCTGCATATGTTTGTGTATATATTCTTCATATTTTTGTGTGTGTGTTGCTCCATATGTTTGTGTGTGTGTGTGTGTGTGTGTGTGTGTGTGTATGTGTGTGTGTTGCTGCATATGTTTGTGTGTGTATTCCTGCATATGTTTGTGTGTGTGAGACATGCTGTCACATACACATGCGAATGAATTGCTACTGGTAACATACTGTATCTAGGCCCATCTGCATTCGGCCCGTGTGTGGTCATAGAGTTTAATCAAACTTATCTCATAACAGTGTCGTTCACATTGTTTGTAATGAGAGGATGTTTACTGAGAGGGGCAGATGATATTTTCAGGCCTTTCACAGATGGACTAAAACACACGTTTCACAGATTCAGCGCTGTGTTGACGTTTCTCTTAAACTGTTGTTTTCTGATTCAGCAAATAAAGCTAACAGACAGATTTTAATAACTTTGTGTATTTGGACAGTTTGTTCCTTCCTTAAAACAAAACAGTATGGGTGTTTCTGTAAATCGTGGCACTTTTGACTCCCAAATTTAAAATAATCAACCCCTATGAATTAAAATTTTAACCACTACAGTCCATAAAACATATAAAGTACACAAAATTGAATGTAGTCGTTAGGATTTTTTATGGTTTTCATCTTCTTCTTACAAAATGTCCTTACCGCAACATTACAATTAGGCTAATGTTTTACACACTTTACTTTTTTAATTTCTATAGAAATGTTATACATTTACATAACTTTCAAGATTTATCAATTTTTGTAAAAACTAATTTAAAATTAAAGAATTTTGTAAATTTTGATGCTAAATTATAAATTATATTCACCTGTCACCTAAAATGCTGCAGTAAAGACGTGCTGCGGAAATTAAATTTTTGCTAATATTGCTTATAACTGGTAGCTATCAAGGTCTGATACATCAGTTTTTTACTTTTAGCACCAAATATACAAGTATTCAACAGTAATATAAATAACCTTTTTTAAAATGTACTTCAAAATACGCAATTGCTAAGGTGAATGGTAAGGACGCATTTGGTTTATGTAGATGAAATAATCATATAAACGATCAGAAAACAAAAAAAGAACTTTAAGATGGTGTAAAGTCATATGTATATGAAACTAATTCTTTTCATTTAATGTCACATTGTAAAAGAATGAGATAATTTTAAGTATCTCAACATTGAGACCGCATGGGGACATGAGCAAAAATGGTGTTTGGACCTATAAAGTCTTCATAATTTTACATTAAATCATATTAATCATTCGTTATCTTTTACGTCACGGTGTGTAATGACACTAGGCTACATTTACTATATTTATAAAGCATCTAAAATTTCACTACTGGGACTTAAAAGTGCCTGTAGTTGCAGAAACACCCATAGTGTTCCAAACTCTTCGTTTTTTTTTTAATAAAAACATGACTCACTTTTATAGTTTTAATCCAGTTTATTTGATGTCAGACTCGGCAGCTGAACCAAATTAGGCGACATCTTGCATCTGCATTCTCAATCAGTTTCTTTGAAATGAATGCTGCATGTAAAACTAAAATGACCTTTCATTTGCATGAGAGAAGAGTTTAAAAGAAAGTTACAGTTCAAAGTGAACTGTTTTAGAAATTAACCAAAGAAACGTTATATTAAGCTATACATTACATATGCCCGTCTAGTGGTTTGCTTATTTATCATTTATTTATTTACTACTTGTAATGACTCAAATCACTAAATATTATATTTATAATACAATTATAATCATCTTTTTAAAATTAATTTATTATTAATAATTAATAATTTAAATTCATTAATAGTTAAATGCGGTTCCTGCCAAGCCAACTAATGTCTGTCTCGCGTATCACATGACTTTGAATCGTGCTCCAAAGACTCGGTTTGAATCAAAAGATTCGATTTCATGTGCTTGAAGTTGAATCAAACAATTCGTTAGCGTTCCGATTTCAAAGCACCAATTTGAATGAAAAGCTTCGCAAAGGTTTCTTTCGATGGACGAAAATTGGCTTCTTGAGTTAGACCTTCCCCATCAGTACACATCATGAGTAATATAAATATAAACGTTTTTTTTTTTTTTTTTACTAAAGGGCCGTTCACCTAGAACGATATCTAAAGCGCGCGCTGCCGTAATGTTTCTGCCGTTTGAAATGCACGCGCTCCTCAAAGTAAGATTGTGATAGGCTGTCAAAATTTTTTGTATTGTTCATCAGCTGGAATGTCGTTGGAATTTCATTTTAAAACGATTTTTTTTGTGACGTTTATCGTTAAAGCTGTCGTCTTTGGTGTGAACAGGCTTTTTGAACGTTTAACGTAATATAAACGCGTATGGATGCTTGGGTTAACGTTAGTGCTTGTGGCGAACACGTCAGAAATAAAAACGTTTTTTCTGTTACTCTGTAAGTTAATATTCATCCTTTGGTCCTTGTTCCATATTCACCCAACGTTACTATGATTCAACAAGGCCACACAGACTCTGGTGAGTTGATTGTGTTTCATATTTTTTTTTAAATTAACGTATCTATTTTTTGTCAACTTTGTCACACAAATTGTCACAAAGAAAAAGTTATTTGGGACTTGAGGGTTTTGACTGTCGCGTTATCAATCCGGAAGTCGGCCATTTTGGAGGCACAGAACATAAACAATGCCATTGAACTGAACGGACACGGACTCGACCATTTTTCAGCAGAAATAATCAGCCAAATTTGTGAGTTTTGGTCTGTACTAATCGGTCGCATCGGGAAAATACCTTTCTAGTTCCATCCAAATAAGAAGTAAATCTTTTCAATGTTCTTACAAAAAAAATGTAATTCATCAAGTTGTTCTACTAGTGGATGACAACGGTATTGTTAACCTGCAGTAAATAAAACACAATCGGCGGAAACAGCTGATTAGTCACATGGGTTTAATGTTTGCTACGTTGTTCAGCAAATGTGTTTCCACTCCATTTTTGCGATTTAAGGGATTTATTTTCTAAATTTGGCGTTTCCATCACTCGTTTCTGATGCAGAATATTGCAATTTGCAAAATGTGCATAAAAACAGTGTGATGGAAACAGCTACATTTACCGAATACATTTCCTGACGCGCATCCAGGAACTGGACTAACTAGCAGACCGATCTTTTTTGCTCAGCATCTTTCTCCAAAATGCTTTTATTGTGTTTCTGAGACGCAAGTAATTTATCATTTACGAAAATAATTATATAAAGTGGTTTCTCCTACTTCTAGAGCCAGTTTATCAGGAAGTGACGTTTTTGTTCTCTTTGTCTCACTGGATGGTATAATGCTGCTTTATTCGCAAATGTTTTATGCAATATTCCCATTTTGCGCATAAGTTCACAACTCACCCTTAAGTTGTTCCAAACTTATGAATTTCTTTCTTCTGCTAAACACAAAAGAGAATATTTTGAAGAATGTCTGTAACCAAACAGTTTATATGCCCCATTGACTTGCATAGTATTATTATTTTTTTTTTCCACATGGAAGTCAATGGGGTCCATCAACTGTTTGGTTACCTATATTCTTCAAAAATATATTTATTTTTGGATGAACTATCCCTTTAATATGAATGTGATGCAGCAATCATATTTTGCATTTCAACATCTTAAGCAGTAAAACTAAGGCCAAGAATGTACAAAAACAAAATGTCTGTGACAAGCCAGCATTGTAATTCTTTGGCACAGAACCTTTTATTCCTGCCCTTTTGTGTGTAGCTTGTTGTTGTAGCTCGTGTGTGTCTGTTCAAGGCCTCTAATGAGTCTCAGTTGATCAGGACATTTTGTGTTCACTCACACAATTACAGGGCGAATGCCAACAACTTTTCTCTCTCTCTCTCTCTCTCTCTCTCTCTCTCTCTCTCTCTCTCTCTCTCTCTCTCTCTCCCTCTCCCTGTAATAAAGCGAAAAGGTCTTACTCAGCTGTTGGATGTTGTTATGAGTTTGCAAGCAACACTGCTTGCTGCCTGGCAGAGAGAGAGAGAGAAGAAAAAGCCAAGATTGAAAACAGACCCTCATACTTTGTATATGTGTATGCGTGAGCTCTCAGCACCGTATGCTGCTATTGACACACCTTCCCTCCACCAAAACCACATTTTATTCCATTGCATTTTCCTTTTTTTTTATTTTGGCTTGAGTACCATCTGCACAGAATGCTTTTCCGCACTGAAAAGAACTTTCTCTCCTCTTTTTGTTTCTTCTCCTTTTCTTCTCTTCAGCAGGGCAGTTCATTGTGAGAGTTGCCAAATCCATCTCATTTCCCTGCGGCTCGTGTTTTCAAGGAAACAGAAACGGGCGACTGTTGCTGAGGAGTTCTGGCTGGACTCGTGTTGTTGTGTTTCCTCAGGTTTCTACTAAACCTCTGGAAGAAAGACACCTTCTCCACACGGTACGCTGTCTTTGTTTTCTGGATAGTGTCATTGCTCACAGGTGGCTCTTTCATAGCTCAAACGTTTTTAAAGAAAATGATACTTTTACTCAGCAAGTACTCATTAAATTGATCAAAAGTGACAGTAGAGAAATTTATAATGTTTCGAAAGATTTAGGGCTGTGAAAAGATTAATCGCATCCAAAATAAAAGTTTGTTTTTTAAAAAACGCTGTGTTTTAACTAGGGATGCACCGAAATGAAAATTCTTGGCCGAAACCGAAAACCGAAAAAGAGGAAACCAAGGCGGAAAACCGAAACACCGAAAGAAATTATGTAAATTATTAGTATCATTTCCATTTATGGCTATGACTGTGTACAAACTTTACTAAAATCAAGGCATTGCAATTGCATAAATTAATATAACATTTTCAAAGAATAAATCAATTACAAATTATGCAAATATTTATTTAGCACAATGCACAGTATAAAATTCAAACTAAAATGTTTAACTTGACCCCACTCATGTGTACACTAAATAATAATCTACTGGCCTGCAGAAAGTTTTAAAATGAAATGTTCTCTCAAAAACAAAGCCGAGCGCAAACTTCTCATCACACTAGCACCCAGTTTGCACGTCTAAATCAGTTATATTTTAAAAATTTAGCATACAATAGCATAAAAAGCCTTTTTAAATGAACAATGGTCCATGTTTAATACAAATGTACATGAAACTTAATGAAACATGTTTAGTGAATGTAGAAAATATTTAAGAGAGCATTAATTTAGTTTTATACATACATGTTCCCATATACATATTTTTTTGTAATGTCACAAGTAATAATCTCAGGGTTTACTGGGTTTTACATGATTATTTTGTATTGGTGTTGGAATACTAAAAACCTCCACAGACAGCGCGCGCACCGCTCTTGACCCGCTCGCAACCGGAGTCGTCGTCATGGCGGCGCGCATTGTTTAGAGCAGATATAGGTGGATTTCCGTCTCATCGCGGGTTCAGATACACTGAAATACGTTCACACCGCAGACATGTTGCTTCAGACAAGCACGTGCAGGTCGCGGTTTCTGTTTGCGTCATCACAACATTTCGGCCGTATTGTTTCGGTGATAAAAGTCTTTCGGTGGCCGAATATTCGGTGCATCCCTAGTTTTAACCCAAATTTGGGTCAAATATGGACGAACCCAGCCTTTTGGTTAAATTTTTTAATTACATTTTTAACCACATGTTTGGGTTTGTCCATATTTAAAACGTCCCATCTTCTTAACGACCGTCAGAGCCAGCTGATAAGTTACACTTTTCCCGAATCATGTAGGAAGGACGCCAAAAATATCTTTCCAATCGACAAATGCGTTGATTGCAGTTCTCTGTTTGTCTATTAAAAATTAATGCGCTGTCGATTTATTTTACAAAAGACGCGACAGCGGAATCTATACATCTCAATTCTCCAGCTGCAGTCATCTTTGATAACGTGATGATTACGTCCCTGCAGATCATCTGTCCATCATCATATAAAGCCCGCCCTGGCAATTTGATTGGCCCGATCATTTTTTGACTGATCATAATTACTCCTCAATGGATCGAGTCCAGACCGGACTTCCCGACCAAAAAATGTTGTGGGCGGAGTTCGGGCTGGCATCCAGGCTACTGTGTATAAGTAATTTGTATACATACTGTAAAAAATGCTGGGTTGTTTTAACCCAATTTTGGGTCAAATATGGACAAACCCAGCTGTTGGGTTAAATTTATAAATTGCATTTTTTAATCCAACATTTGGGTTTGTCCATATTTGACCCAAAATTGGGTTCAAACAACCCAGAATTTTTTATTACATATGTGTAAGTACACACACATGCATGAATATATTTAAGAAATATTTGCAATGTTTATACTATATAATTTATGTTATATATAAATAACACATTTTTCTTAAATACATGCATGTGTGTGTATTTATATATAAAAAATAATTATACACTGAACACACACATATATTATGTAAACACAAACTTTTATTTTGGATGCGATTAATCTTTTCACAGCCCTAAAAAGATTTCAGTTTCACATAAATGCTTTTCTTATGTCCGTTCAATTCCTCAAAAAGAATCCTGAAAAATCACAGTTTCTGCAAAAATATGAACTGTTTTCAACACTGATAATAATCAGAAATGTTCCTCGAGCTGCAAATCATCATATTAGAATGATTTCTGAAGGATCATGTGACACTGAAGACTGGAGTAATGATGCTGAAAAATCAGTTTTGCATCACAGAAATAAATTACATTTTAAAACATATTCCGATGGAAAACATTTATTTTGAATTGCAATAATATTTCACAATATTTCTGTTTTTACTGTATTTTTGATTAAATAAATGGAGCCTTGCTGAGCATAAAAGTGTTTCAAAAATATTTTAAAAAATCTATCAGACCCCAAACTTTTGAACAGGAGTGTAATGGTGTTCTCAGTTATTAAATTAAGTAAATTGAGTTAAAAAAAAACAGAATGTACCACTTCTCATCCAGTAAGCAATAAAATGAATGTGTAGAGCAGCTCAGATCATTCAATGCAGATTGTAAATCTGGGCACAGTTTGAAACATTGTTGAGATTCTTCTAAAAACTATAAAGGAGACACATGTGAGATTATTCAACTCTCTCTTTGCAGAAATAGTCAAGACATTAAAGAGATCTCATTTCTGTGATTAACTGCATTAGGCTTTAGTCTATGGTACCTTTGTAGGGATGTTGGTTTTACCAGCGAGTGAGTGAACCCTGCTGTGGTCATTTGACTAAACAAACAGATCTGCTGCCCAACCTCCTCTCCGTCTGGGACCCTGGAGACCGAAGCTTTAGCTCCATCCCTCCCGCACGCAGCTGTATGAGAGACCACTACAAATCGACACACGTCGAGAGAGGGAGAGACGAGGTGAGGCGTACAGTGAGAAGTTAGCAACACAGACATGCTTTCGATCTGACGTCCAGGCGTCTGCGCTGCTAAAGGTGAGAGATGGGAGTGCATTTAACTCGTTTTCTTTCCATTCCGTCAACTCTGAGGTTTTGATGTATGACAGTGAAAAGCAAAGCTGTAAAAGAAGCAGAATTGTGATATTTTCCAGAAGTTTAGACTGAGCTTTGTATTGAGGACATTCGTAACCCTCTCACGTTCGTTCTGTCACGGGAAAGTTTATCGTTTTCATCCAGATGTGGACGATGATAGATGGCCACTATGGGCTTGTGAGATTTATCTCATCTGATAGATTCTCCGTGAGACTTTTCCTGCTTTTATTTGGGAAAGGGTTTGTTTGTGTGTTAAACACTTTGCATTTGAACGAGAATCTGCTGAGTTCAGCGAGAGCAAACAAATCTGTGTTTTACAGCCTGCGTTTACACACGGTCGTCAACATCGGTGGGACTTCAGATGTTTATTTTGGTTTGTGAGGTGTTGTAATGTAGTGTTGTCCTCTGTGTGTGTGTGTGTTGAAGTGCGGTACGGATGGTTTATTTGAACGCTTCTGCTGTCTTTTTTTGTCTGTGTGTGTCGTATAACAGCATTTAAAGGCCGGCTGCATACCAGAATCTAGGTGGTGTTTATATTCATGACTTTTACCTTATGCTGCTTACAAACATTTTGGTAAAAACGTAAACAAATGTCACATTGTTTAGATAATTATGATTAGCCTTTGTCCCCAAATTAGCTCTAAAAGTGGATGGAAAGCTCTTTATTTTTGTATATATATGCATGAATACACATACAAACACGCTCTCTCTCTCTATATATATAATTTACTCTCTGCTTGGGATGCACGATATATCGGCCAGCATATCGGTATCGGACGATATGTGTTCATTTTTAATGCTATCGTTATCGGCCTGGAAAGAAAATGTGGCCGATATATTAAAAAATGAAAATACGGTTCGGGACAACATGTGTAGCGCAAATCTGTCATATCGGCTATACAACACTATAACATGGACATGGATTTAATTGTGAGACTTTTGTTTTTGTAATCAGGCTCTCAAAATTAGCTAAAAATTTGGATTTAAGTTTATCGGCCGATATATCAGTTATCGGCTTTCAAATATAAAGAATTATAGGTTATCGGTATCGGCCAAAATTTTCATATCGGTGCTTCCCTACTCTCTGCATACATTCATCCATCCATCCAGGTCAGGATATTTATAGCTGTAAAGCCATCTAGATAGAATTGTAAAAATAGCATTGCACAGTGATTACAAAACTCTATTGTGCATTAGTTTTCACTGCAACCTAAACATTTGTAAAAGTCAGAGCCAGCTGTAGTTCATTGGCACTGACGGTTATCTTAAGCGTAGGTCTTTGTATATATTTCGGTCAGTCTGGGCTGTAAGTCACACAGATGTTCAACAGCTGATCTCAGTTTCCAAAGCTCTCGTATGCTAAAGCGCTGGTGCAGAACCTGCATGGCACGGCGTCCTAGAAATTCCCATTACTCATGCGGTTCTCATTCAGCTCAGGATGAGTTTCTGTCCAGTTCTTCTAGAACATGCTGTTATTAGTCACGCGAGTGAGTAAGACATGAGTGTATGCGATATCTGCGATAGGACTGCGAAATCGAGTTGTTGACGTTGGGACGGAAGGATCGCTCTATGACTGCTGCGTCACCAGCTGTTTCCTGACCCCCCCTAATCTGGGCCGCATACCAGTCCCATGAAAAATGTGCTCCCCATTAGCAGCGGATGAGTGGAGCTCATGAACAGGGTCAGGCAGAACCGCAAAGACCCCCGTGTGTCGACATGATCTGCTGCGCTTGAATCACGGAACATACAAAACACTTCAGGAAGTACATATTTGAGAGCTCGGCTCCTTCAAGGCACAACTATTTCAAGAATACCATTACTGATAAACTAGACAGCAGATAAATTATATATATATAACTTCAGCTAATAGCTCATTTGCAACATTTGTCCTTTGATAGGCTTTTGAATGTTTAAAAATTAATTAATTCACTTCAGTGCTATTATTTAACTCTGCACTTCATTTAATTGGATTAGCACAATGACAAAGTTGAATGTCAGATCTAAAAAAATATATTAAACTATTGTATGAAACTATAATCATTCATTAGGTCGTTCGTTCAGGCATTCATTCATTAATTTATTGGGTCATTCATTCTTTAATTAGGTCATTCATACATTAGGTCATTCATTGGGTCATTCATTCATTCATTGGGTAATTCATTCATTAATTGGGTCATTCATTCGAGCATTCAATTATTCATTCATTAGGTCATTCAGTTATTAGGTCATTCATTCGAGCATTCAGTCATTCATTTATTGGGTCATTTATTAATTAGGTCATTAATTCGAACATTCAGTTATTCATTCATTCATTGGGTCATTCATTCATCAGGTCATTCATTCATTGGGTCATTCATTCATTAGGCCATTCATTCGAGCATTCAGTCGTTCCTTCATTGGGTCATTCATTCGAGCATTCATTTATTAGGTCATTCATTTATTAGGTCATTCATTTATTAGGTCATTCATTCGAGCATTCATTCATTGGGTAATTTATTAATCGGTCATTAATTCGAACATTCAGTCATTCATTCATTCATCAGGTCATTTATTCATTAGGTCATTAATTCAAGCATTCAGTCATTCATTCATCAGGTCATTTATTCATTCATTCATTGGGTCATTCATTCATTTGTTCAATTATTAGGTCATTCATTCTTTCAGTCATTCATTAGGTCATTCATTTATTAGGTCATTCATTCGAGCATTCATTCATTGGGTAATTTATTAATTCGGTCATTAATTCGAACATTCAGTCATTCATTCATTCATTCATCAGGTCATTTATTCATTAGGTCATTAATTCAAGCATTCAGCCATTCATTCATCAGGTCATTTATTCATTCATTCATTGGGTCATTCATTCATTTGTTCAATTATTGGGTCATTCATTCTTTCAGTCATTCATTAATTCATTAGGTCATTCATTCATTGGGTCATTCATTATGTAATTCATTTCTTGGGTCATTCATTATGTAATTTATTTCATTGGGTCATTCATTGGGTCATTCATTCATTTCATTAGGTCATTCATTTCATTTGTTCAATTATTAGGTCATTCAATTCATTGGGTCATTCATTCATTAGGTCAATCATTTATTAATTAATTAATTTATTAAGTCATTCATTCATTTGTTCAATTATTAGGTCATTCATTCTTTCAATCATTCATTCCTTGGCTGAATGACAATGACGGTCTAATTAAAAAAGTTTATTTTAAAAACATCCATCCTTCCATCTTCTTTCTCAAGTCACTATAAGTATATCAATATCCAATTTACCAATATAATCATGGGATTACCATCCATGGTATCGTATCTTAATAACAATTTTTTCTATGCAAATTGTCCAAAAATCAAGATATTAGTATGGTATCATGTCCTAAAAACTACAGTATGACCATGGTAAATACCGAGAAAAAATATATTAAGATAGTACCGTGGCAAATGGCAAAGAAACATTGTTATAATTCATATTTTAGTCTCCTTTGGCACTCGAACAGAAGTGTTTCTTCTTTCATCAGGGTGAAGTTCCTTCACTCGTTCTGTCTCAAGTGTCTCTTTAATCTGCCGTATCCTGCGGTTAATGACCACTAAGATTACGGCACGCAGAAATAACAATGACGACCAACGACTATTACTATTAAGAAAGACAGATGATGCTATCTTCACCAGTCTAAATGAGCTGCATTTCTGTCTCTCTGCACTCGGTCCAAGTCAAACAGAGACACAGGGAGACAGTGTTGGGTTCGACTTGGAAAACTGGCTTAGCAGACCAAAGAAAATATGAACAGACTTTCTTTAGATAACCAGCTCTCTTTAAGAAAAACAAGAACACTGTATGTGTGTGTGTGTTTGGATTGGCATGTATGCGTGTTGTATGCATGACTGTTTGTGTTGTGTTTAGTCATTTCACAGCAATGTTTTTCTGTTTCCATGACCACTTTTTGCATATTTCTGTCTATATTTCTATGCAAATGCTTGTAGCTACACAAGTTTGATTGCTTTGCTACATTCATAAATGTGTCTGACCATTGCGTTTGATTCTCAGTGTTGCCACAAAGAGCATTATAGATGCATATAAACTTCTACAGGTCTTACTACAGGCATGGCAAAGTTAGTTTAAGTTAATTAAACCGTTTATGTGTTTATATCTATCAGGAATAATAACACATTCAGTTTAAATCCACAGGCAACACATCACTCCCTTGATTTCCAAAGTTTTCTACTGTGACAATAATGCAATAGCTGTGTTTATATCCAAATATGCAAATTAATTCTGCCAATATTTGAGATGGTGTGCATTAAGATCGGTCCCGCTGGTTAGTCCAGTTATCAATCACATGATCTGTTGAGGCAGTCATGTGAGTTTTGATTTAAATTTGTTTCCTTTATAGTTTTTTAAGTAAAAACTTTTTTACAAAAAACAAAACAAACAATTTTTTTCCTCCCCATAATCAAACTATTTTTTTTTAAATTCACATTTTAAGATTGTATGTGCATCTTGGCATTTCCATCTAGTTTTTATTTTTATTTATATGTACAAAAATAAATATGTGGATGGAAACATAGCTA